AGCTAGTGCGCCCCCCCCAGCAGACCAGGCTTTTGTTGTGGACCCTGGGGTAGAGCAGCTGGGGTGCTGCCGGGTTGGCCCTGCGGGGCCCTCCCTGGCAGCCCGGCTGTTCTGTCCCAGGCTCGAGATTCAGCCGCTGTTGAAACTGATCAGTAGCTGATTCCAGGAAGCTGGGGGCAGAGCAATTCTGCCTCCAGCTTCCTGTAGTCAGCCCCTGGTCAATTTCAGCAGCAGCGGCTGAATCTGGAGCCAGTTCCGACTTACATACAAATTCAACTTAAGAACAAACCTATAGACCCTATCTTGTACGTAACCCGGGGACTGCCTGTAATTTGGAAGGCACTCCGCTACTGTGGTGTTGAGGGCCATACACTTGACTAACCTATATAGAACAGAGCATGGGATGAAATGAATATTTGTGGATCTGCAACTGTAAAGACCTGGATTCAGTTGCAATTCCTTGTTACTGTAAATATTCCTCTCTTCTAAAATTCCCAATTTAGGTGTTTTCTCATAAACTAGGATATATAGATAGATAGCTAAATCAGTGTAATGAATGTATTTTGTGGCTTAAACGTATTATAGTGGAGTGTTACATAAGCACAATTTCTCGAAGTATGGTTGTTACATCACAGGAGAGTATTTTGCTGTAACTGTGTCCCTTAAAATAGTTTTCCAGTTCAGAACTTTATTTTTAGAATTCAATTATGCCCTCAGGATTAGGTGTATTTGTAGCTATGTATCACTAAATCAGTTACTGCACTTCCTTTTCTACGGGAAGCAACTTTATAACCTGTTCATTGTCTTTAGCTGTTACAGAAATGAAGAATAACGTGGTTAGAAATATTTTGAAGTAAAGTTTTGAAATGTTTTTTATTCATCTGAAAATATTTTTCATAGCCTCTCTAAGTTAATTTGTCATCTTCTCTAGGTCTTATTCCTCTTCTAGGAATTGATGTGTGGGAGCATGCTTATTATCTTCAGTATAAAAATGTTAGACCTGACTATCTAAAAGCTATCTGGAATGTGATCAACTGGGAGAATGTATCTGCGAGATATACAGCTTGCAAAAAATAAAGTGGAGGTCTCAGACTATTACAAGATCAGCAGTTGTATTCTGAAATCACTTTTGTAGTGTGTTTACTGGCTTGTTAATGAGTTGATCCACTATTGAAAATACTTTAATGCATCTAATGAAAACATTTGCAATCAAGCCAAGTGTTGCTTGTCTAATTCTGTAAAAGGTATTTATACATAGACTTAAAGCTTTAAACTCTTGCGCAACAAGTGGAAACAATTCTGTAATTCTTTATGGGGGTATAACTTTAAAATTTCATTGTGGTTCTTCATCACAGTGGCTTTGTGAGGAATACTTACATATGAAGCACTATAAAGAGCTTAATAAATGACATACCAATGCATTTCAAGTTAAATATACAGGGCTAGGGAACTTCCTTTGGAAAGTGATGGTAGCAAACTTTATATTTTTTTCAAGACTGCTGAATGGAGGTATAGTGGGATACTTGATTCACTTATGATTATGCCCTCAAAGCTTCCGTGTGAGTTTTTTTGGTCCCTTTTTTTTTTGGGAGAAGTTTTCCCACAGCTGCATACTGTTCCACATAGAAATATAACTGATGGAAATTGACAATGATCTGATTGTTTTCTGATGCTTTTTGATCTAACTTAAATCCTTGTTGCACTTAAGAATTTGAATAGAAATGTATGTACCTCATTTATGTTGCCATAAATAAAAAATTCAATAACAAAATCTGTAGTTATCCAGATATTTTTCTCTTCGCCTGCAGCACAAAGGGACCATCAAGCTAGCTGCATACAGCAGGCATCACCACAAACTTCCTGGGATCTTTGAGGATACCTGATAGAAGGCCAAGCTAAGCTTTGTGTGCTCTGCACTTTTTTTGCCTATACATGGGTTACTTGGCTTTAAAATCAATGAAAGCAATATTTGGCCTCTGACTTTGTGGTGAAATAAGCTTTCCCCTCTCTCCTCCTACCCAAGGCACTAAGAAAAAAAACTTTTTTTTGAACTCAGTTCAGGTAGAAAATGTGGTTTAGCAAGAGGATGCAATACTGGGAGCCAAGTTTAAATTATGAAGTAGAAAGCCTTGATTTAAACAGTTGATTGAATAATCTTTTCCATTTGTACTTCATTTTTCATAAAGTGCATTCTCATTGATGGAACTACTAATGTTGATTTACAAGAGAGATTTTTCACTAGGTTTGGTACATCTTTTTGCCATTTAGGAGAGTATAACTGTACATTTATTTAAGTAATTGTACAGCTTAATATTTTCATTAGCATCTGTTTAGTCCACCAAAAGCACATTCTGCACTTTATAGCTGAACCTTTCCTTGGCAAGAGTATATCTTGCACGTGGGGACAGGCAGCGCCCCCTGCGATCCCTATGGGCATTTCAACTTTGTCAATGTTAACTTTCTGGTCAGCAAAGAATGTGCTTGCTTGCAGTTTTCTGAGTAGTCCTGTGTGTTTAAAGATGGGAGCATCAAAAATCATATCTGACCAGCCAACACTGATGTCTGTGAAACATGCCACCCCTCATGATTTGCCAGTGCTTGCATAACCATGGAAGAGTAACCCTTTCTTTAGGTATATTTCAGGGCAAGAAGAAAGGGCGGGGGGAGATATTCCAGGATAGGTATATGTGTTCTAGGGTGTTAGTGTGTAGTTTTCATGATTAACCGATAAGCCTGGCCTTATTTATCAATCCTAACTAGATGCATCCCCTCCCTTGTTGCCTCCTACAGAGGCGGCGGCAGCAGCGGCCAGGTGGGGGGGGGGAGGGAAGAGGCAGGAGCTGGTGCTTGTGGCTGGGAGCCAGCTTAAAAGCTTCTGGGACCTGCCTGAGGTAAACACTGCCTGATGGGAGCCTGCACCCCAAACCTCTACCCTCACCTGGAACCCCGTCCTTTACCCAGACTCCCTCCTGTAGCTTACCCTCCCACTCCAACCCCCTGCCCTAGCCCTGAGCCCTCTCCTGTCCCCCAAATCCCCAGACCCACCTCAGAGTCCATACTCTTAGCCACATCCTAATCTCGTGCCCCAGCCCTACCAGCCACAGATACAGTAGGATAAACCATAAAAGGGGACAGGACTTATTTGACAACCCAAATGAAGGGCTGAATGTAAAGGGCCCAGAGCTGGGGCTGAGGACCCTAATGAAGGCAAATAGACTAGTGATTGGACTCTGGTATCCTAGAAGGTGTTCACTTGGACTTGATAACTTGTCTGGGGGGTCCACACTGAAGACCCAGTCTGCAGGGAGGGCCAGGAGTGAGAAGACTGCAGTACCAAATCCAACTGCTAGAAGACACTCGAGGTGACTGCCTGGCACTAGATGCTTGAAAATTCATGAGATAAGGTGGGTGAGGTCATGTCTCTTACAGGTTCAGTTTCTGTTGGCGGAGGAGATCAGCTTTTGAGATTACATAAAGACCTTCATGACTGGAAAAGGGACTCAGAGTGCTGCTGCTAAGTGCAAGCTGAGAGAGATTGTTGGGCATAATGAGTTAGCACATGTTGCAAGAGACCGTGGGCAATGGATATCCTAGGCTGAAGTGGGGCTGTGCCTCCCCAAACAGACTGGCATGGCCCTGTCCAGGCTTTGCCCCAGACCTGCCTTTTTCCGGTTCCCTTCTGTTCTTTTACGGCCACAAGCTGCCTTACCCATTAGCCACTGGGAACCACCCCCACCTCCCTCCCTTCAGCTGATGCCAGCTCGAGCCTTGGGGAAGCTCATGGTGGCTGTCCAGCTGCTCTCGGGAAAGGTGGCTTGCTCTGGGGCTGCACCATGGTCCGACTCTGGCGCATGGCTGGGGCAGAGCCTCTGGGCTGGAGGTGGAGGGGTCTGGCCAGGAGAGAGGGTGCAGGAGCTGACTGGGGTTTTGGTGGGAGTGTGTGTGTGAGGGGGATGGCTTGGGGGTGCTAGAGCTGGGGCCACACTGCTCCAATAGGAGCTGAGAAACTTTGCTGGTGGCAGGAGCAGTGAGCAAAGCCTCCTCCCTTCTCCTCCCATACTTTGCCCCCTTCCTTCCCCCCATGGTTGAGCAGAGCCCTGTGGAGCAGCCAGCTCAGCCCAGTCCAACACGCAGGCATGGAGCCTGTCTCAGATTCCTGTAGAGCTGCTGACTGGGAGCTATGTAGGTAAGTGCCTCCCAGCCAGAGCCTGCCTCCGGCATCCTAGTCCTTCTCTCCCCTCAACTTCCTGCCCCAGGTCACCACCCAACCCTCTGTATCTCTTCTCCCCATCTTCTCTAGGTCATATCCTAGACCCAGTACCCCCTCCTACACTTGACCCCCGGGCTAGAATCCTCTCCTGCATCCATACCCTCTCCTGGACCCTGCACCCCAAGCCTCTGCCCCAAATCATTATACTACTTGTTGACCCAAATTCCCTCTCAGACCCCACACCACCTCCTGCACCCTAGTCCTCTATCCCAAGCTTCTTTCTGCACCTCACCTGCCATCCCAGACTCTAGTTCCCCTCCACAGAAGTGCAGCCCTTGCCCACTTACCAAATCTTGGAGTAGCCACCAAGTAAAAATTAATGTCCCCTCAGCACTCTCCCCTCCCCCGGACAAAGAGGTTGGATATGGTGTTGTCATTTTGTGAAAATTTGTGGATGAGATCACATTTTTGTCTCATCATTTTTCCATGTGAGTTCATTTGGGAGAATGGTGATTGTCTTATTTCGGCCACATTGTTGTTTAATACACTGGATGAGGTACGCCACGTGTTCTGACAGGCGTGTGTAGGGCCTATGGACTTGACAGGTATGTTGTGGAGTGTTTGATCATAGCAGTGGATTTATGACTCCATACAACAATCTAACCTACCAACCTTCCTTCAGCATTTCTGCAGTGACAGGATAACTACCCACTTAACTCATGTTTTAAGAGCCCATTCAAGATGAACTCCTTATGCCTAGCAATGTGTTCCACCTGTGCTCCACTTTTTTTTGTTTGCTGCTGCATTGATCCAATATTTTCAGGGAAGTGTCCATGATGACTCCACAACCTCTTTAAGCTAATTCAGACCCCACCCCAAATTTTTATGTGTAACTGGGATTATGTTTTCCAATGTGCATTTCCTCACATTGATCAACAGTGAAAGTGAATTTCATCTGCCATTTTATTGCCCTGTCACCCGGTTGTGCAAGATTCCTTTGTAATGCCTCATCATCTGCTTTAGAGTTAACAATCTTGACTATTTTTATATTGTCTGCAAATTTTGCCATCTCACTATTTATCCCTTTTTCCAGATCACTTATGAGTATGTTGAACAGCATTGGTCCCAGCACAAGTCCTTGGGACCCTGCTATTTGTTTTTCTCCATTTGGGAAATAAACATTATTTCTACACTGTTTCCTGTCTTTTAACCAGTTACTGATTCATGAGGAAAATCTTCCCTTTTTATCACATGATTCCTTATTTGCTTAAGAGCCTTTATTGAAAGGATTGTATCAAAGGCTTTTGAAAATTCAAGTACACAATATCCCTAGATCACCTTTGTCCACTTGCTTATTGACCCCCGCAAAAAATTATCATGGACAGATGAGGCATGATTTCCCCAAAGGCTGTGTTGACTTCCCCAGCATAACATGTTCAGGGGGTAGCTGAGTTAGTCTGTACAGGCTAAACTTTAAAAAAAATGGTCTGGTATCACATTATAGACTAATAAAACATGTAGATGGTATCATGACATGTTTTGTTAGTCTGTAAAGTGCTATCAGACCATTTGTTGTATTTTAAGTTTATCCGTTTATCCAGCCTAACATGTTTATCTAGATGTGTGATGAAATAATTCTGACTTAACTATAGTTTCAACCAGTTGCTTGGTACTGAAATTAGACTTACTGGCCTGTAATTGCCAAGATCACCTAATTATATTTGACTTCCCAGGCTGTATGCTACTTTCTATTTTTTCTCACTAGGATTTGACTTCCAACTTTTAAAGGATGATTGTTTTGTTTTTGTTTTTGTTTCTAATTGGCTCTCTTTTTCTGTTTAGCCATGGTGGTCATTTTTGTCCTTCTTAATGGTGGGTGGGTGGGTTTTTTTTGTATTTAGGGTGTTCATGTGTATACATATATAACTTGGGCCTCTCTTTTGGTGTCTTCTTAAGTTTCACACATCATGCAGCATTTCACTTTTGTGGTGATTTCTTTTAATTTCCATTTAACTAGCTTCCTCATTTTTGTGTATTTCTCTTTTTTGAAGTTAAATGCTACTATGGTGGGCTTCTTTGTCATCTTTCCCCTTACAAGAATGTTACATTTAATTACATTATAGTTGCTAATACTGAATGGTTCAGCGATATTCACCTTTTAGATAACATCCCGTGTGCCACTTAGAACTAAATCAGGAATTGCTTTTCCCCTTGTTGGCTCCAGATCTAACTAGTCCAAGAAGAAGTCATTTATGATGTCTAAAAATCCATTACATCCCATTCTGAGCCCACAGTCAATGTGAGGGTAGCTGAGATTTTCTTTTATTATTGAATCTCTCTCCTGTCTTTGTAGCCTCTCTAATCTATATGAGGATTTCACAGTTAGGGTTGCCAGGTGTCCGGTTTTGAACCGGACAGTCCCGTATTTGAGCTTTCTGTTTGGGAAACAAATTGAGAAAATATAAATATCTGGTATTTTCTAAATAAGATGTAATGTAGATTGTGATGTAATGTCAAGTGTGTCCGGTATTTTTGTTGAAGCCATCTGGCAGCCCT